TGATGATGATGATGCTGATGCTGATGATGATGATGATGATGATGATGATGATGATGATGATGATGATGATGATGATGATGATGATGATGATGATGATGATGATGATGATGATGATGATGATGATGATGATGATGATGATGATGATGATGATGCGGATGCTGCTGCTGCTGATGATGATGGGGATGATGATGATGATGCTGATGTGATGATGCTGCTGAAGAGGATGATGATGGTGATGATGATGATGATGAGGAGGAGGAGGAGGAGGAGCAGGGTAGCATGAGGAGGAGGAAGAGGAGCAGAGGGGGTGCAATGAGGAGGAGGAGCAGGAGGAGGAGGAGGACGAGCGTGAGGTGGAGGAGGAGGAAGTGGGTGACTCGTATCCTTCCTGTTCGCACTGCCTAAGAACGCTTCTCCTCCACGCCCGGATGGGGCAGACGGAGCTGCGCGCAGCTTCGAGGTTTTCGAGGACGAGGGGGATGCGAATTCGTTGCCATTTTGCTTATCCCACTCACAGACAGGAGTCGCAAACATGGATCAAAGCGCGTTGATTAGCGACGAGTCCCATTTCCGAACGACATCGGCGCATTCGGCGCCAATTTGGACGGGCTTGGATTAATATTTTGAAAGGTACTTTTCCCGATCCGTGGGTCTGGCGTCCACGCGCCAGATACACGGATCATCCGTATTAGCGTGTGCCCGAGAGTTCGTGCTAATTCGCTTGTTCGCATCCCGATCCAGCCTTGCCGAATTGAGCGCTCGTTGAGTCCGTGACAAAATAAGTGTGCCCGAAAACTCTTTCCTCGCTAGCCTCCAGGCTTCTCTTGCATTTGGCTTGAGACCACCAGTCGTCATACGCCAGACACAGTAGAAGGAGAAGGAGGAGGATGAGGAGGCAGGTCGGGGTATGAGGAGGTCCCTTGGGCCTGTCACGCCATCACCCGTTTCCGCATCTTTGCCCAGGCCCTCGCGAGGCTGGTGCTGCTTCCGTTCGTCATATGGATACTTTTAAGGGGAAGGGGGAGGGAGGGGGCAAGTGGCCCGAAAGCTGCTCAGACCAGACTGAAAAAAAGGGTAGGAGGCAGGGTCAATGATCAACGGCACGTAAGACAGCCCCCTGCAGGTGGAACTCGTCAACCGCCGCCGATCGAGTTGAACCGCGCTGTGACCCTCAGCGCATCGCGCCCTAAATGCCGAAGGGCTTCTGTGGACAAAGACAATGTCGCTCTTATTGAAGTCTTCTGGATCGTCGACGGGGGAGGAGGAGCGACTGTAGATGAGGTGCAGGCGAGAACCGATCGAGTGTTGTTTTGCTCTCGAAAATGCAGCTTTGATGGCGCCACGGCTGTGTTCTCTGCTTAGATCACCGCGTGGTGTGCTAAGGAAATATGGATGTTATACGTGGATGCAAGGGTCGGTAATATCCGGCATTTGACTTTGCAAGTGCCTTGAGCGTCGTATGGGGTTCGATGACTCCGAGACGTGGGCGGAGCCCACTCAGCCCAGATGTTTACTCTCTCGGCGGAGTCATCTGACCCCCCCGAGCCACTTCGGGCACCTACGCCCCACTTCTACGCGAGATTTGGGCCAGATGTGACACCCCTTCGCACCACAGGCGTGACCTCCTATCCCCTCACCATCCCCCGCGGTGAACCGAACGACCGCCGCAATGTGGACCACCCTGGGGGGACGTCGCGCTGTCCTTTGTAGGCCTCTCAAATGGGGTCAGAGAAGATGGCGTCGCAGCATCGCGCCCGCATCGCCGATGCATCGGCGAGGCGGGTCGATGTGGAGCCCGATTTTTTCCGCGCCGACGTCGCGGTTTATTCGCCGACGCGTCGCCGATGCGTGGCCGAGTTGTCCTCCTCCTGCCTTCGTCTTAGGGGGTTTGTAAGGAGGATGATGAGGAGGAGGATGAGGAGGAGGATGAGGATGAGGAGGAGGAGGAGGAGGAGGAGGAGGAGGAGGAGGAGGAGGAGGAGGAGGAGGAGGAGGAGGAGGAGGAGGAGGAGGAGGAGGAGGAGGGGGAGGAGGGGGGGGAGGAGGAGGAGGAGGAGGAGGAGGAGGAGGAGGAGGAGGAGGAGGAGGAGGAGGAGGAGGAGGAGGAGGAGTCCGTAGCCATTTTGGCTCAAGCCGTCTCAAGCCAGCTGGCCATGTCCTCCGCCTCGCGCCTGCTGGCCTGGAGCTTTCCTGCTGCTTGAGAATGGCGTCGGGTGGCGGCCCCACGGCGTGGCTGCCTTCGTCCCAGCGGCGACTGGAGACGGCATGGATGGGAGCATCCTGGGCTCGCCGCGAGGCGCGGAAGCGTCGCGTGCGAGCTTGCGAATCCGCGCTCAAGTACCTCCTTGGCGGCGGCGCGGCAGATCCTGGTGGCTGGCTCGACCGCGAGTTGGCGGCGCGGTCCGCTTTGCAGCTGCGCGCCGCAGGCTGCCGCGTGCCAGGGAGGACGAGGAGGCGCAGGAACGCGGCATGGCACGCAGCGATTGCGCCGGTAGGCGGTTTTGCTCGCGCGAGCGATTCTGCCATCACGCAGGCCGCGGCGGGCCTTCGGCTCGAGGAGTACGCCACGGGCGCTGCTCCTGCGGTCCTGGCGGTGGTGCAGGCGGCGCTTGCCGCCCCGCCGTGCATGCCGAGGCCTTCCGCGGCGGCGACACCGACAAAGCTGAGGGCAGAGGCTCCTGTGTTTGTACCCGCCGTGGATGTCCTACCTGGAGAGGCCGCCCTGCCAGGCGCTCCTCATCGAGTTCGCGGAGCCGATGCTGGAGCTTCATGCGGGACTGTGGGCTCTTCGTCGGCGTATGCTCCCTCATCGTGCTTCCCTGGTGTCTGGGAGCCATTCGAGGAGGAGATCGCGAAGGACCCGCTGCGCTGGTTTCCCTCTGTCGGGGTGCACCCCCCCGCAGAGGACGGCCCTGAGGGTGCGCAGGCGTCAACTGCTGGGGTGGAGTCCCGCTCTGCCGACGCGGAAGGCGACGAGGGCGCTCCCACAGCTGCTGCACCCGGAGGCCCTCCTGCTGCGCGCGATGCTGTTCGTGAAGGTCCTGGCGCCGCCGCTCGTGCGTGGGTACCCGTGGGCTTGCCGCGTGACCCTGGCGAGGGGCTGCTCTTCGCATGTGGCCTCGCTACAGCATCGGACCCTAATACTTCCACACCTTCAGCTGCAGGGTTGTCGACATCGGCCTTGGCTTCTGCGTCGTCGTTTTCTCGGCTCGTGGCCTGCGACTCCGAGGAAGACGCGTTGCTGGACGGGTACGACCTCTTCGACTCCGATTTCTAGCTGTACTTTTGCGGCGTGGTCTTCTTCCTCGCCGCAAGTGGGAGTATTCATTGAAGGTTTGTGAGTGTTCATTGTTAGGCTTGGGCTGTTCTTGGTAATTCTGGTTTGTTATTCTCTTCGGTACGCTGGTTATGCAGTGGAATCGCATTGTTTTTCTTTGAGTGCTTCCTTGAAGTTTCTGTACGTGGCTCCAAGGGCTTCCTTTGCATTTTCTTGTATAGTCGTGGCGTGTGGTTTTCTGGCAATTTGTACAAGAATGTCTTCGGCTGGCGCGTTCTCTTTCAAGCTGTTCATGTTCTTCCTCGTGGTGCCTCCCACGAAGCATTATGTTGCTGGTCTGGGCTATTTCACCTCGGTGTTTATCGTCCTGGACTGCTTCAACAATGCACCTTTGAGGCAATGGCGTTGCTGTCAAAAAAAGGTGGAGGAGGAGGAGGAGGGGGAGGAGGAGGAGGCATAATAACAATACGAGTAATAATAAGACGAACAATACTAATACTAATAAAAATAATAATAATGATACTAAGGAGAAGAAACACAATCATAATAATAAGAATACTAATGCTAATAAGAATAAGCATAATAGTAATAATAATGAAAAGAGTACGAACAATAATACGAATAATAATAATATTAATACTAAGAAGAACATTAATAATACTCTGAAATATAAGAAGAACAACACTAATAACAAAACTAATGATACTAATAAAACTAATTACAATACACATAATACGACGAATACTATTAATACGAATAATGCGAACAATAAGAACATTAATAATAATAATGAGAACACTACAAATCATACTACGAATCATAGGATGATAATGATTATACAGATAAGAATAAGAATACGGGTGACATGGATAACCCGAATAATAATATTACTAATCAGAAGAATATCACTAATGCTAATAATAATCATACTATTGTTCATACTAAGAATAATAATACCAATTATATTAAAAAATAAGAAGAAGAAAACTACTATGACGAATAATAAGAATAGTAATACTAATACGAAGACTAATAACAATAATCATATTAGTAATAAGAATAATAATTATAATAGTAATAATAATCATCAGGATAAAAACAATACTACTATTAATAAGAATAATGATAAGAATGCTAATCATAATACGAGGAGGAGGAGCAGTAGTAGAAGCAGTAGTAGTAGTAGTAGTAGTAGTAGTAGTAGTAGTAGTAGTAGTAGTAGTAGTAGTAGTAGTAGTAGTAGTAGTAGTAGTAGTAGTAGTAGTAGTAGTAGTAGTAGTAGTAGTAGTAGTAGTAGTAGTAGTAGTAGTAGTAGTAGTAGTAGTAGTAGTAGTAGTAGTAGTAGTAGTAGTAGTAGTAGTAGTAGTAGTAGTAGTAGTAGTAGTAGTAGTAGTAGTAGTAGTAGTAGTAGTAGTAGTAGTAGTAGTAGTAGTAGTAGTAGTAGTAGTAGTAGTAGTAGTAGTAGTAGTAGGAGTAGGAGTAGGAGTAGGAGTAGTAGGAGTAGTAGGAGGAGGAGGAGGAGCAGGAGGAGCAGGAGGAGAGGGGGGAGTAGAGGCCTCGATGCGGCACGATCTTTGGATCCCATCTTCTCAGACCACGGTTGGCAGGCCTCTATTCTTGCTCCACGCTCCGCCGCCCGACCTGCCCCAGCGTGGAGACGACACGAATGGAGGCTCCCCAGGCTGCAGCCCGGGCCCCCCTATGCAGCACTCGGCGGCCCCAGGAGACCAAACCCTGCGGCGGCCCGGAGCCGGTGCCGTGCCTGCTGTCGGACTGGCGCGACTGGACCGAGTGCAGCGTGGACTGCGGCGCGCGCGGCCGCCGCCGTCGTCCGCCGCTGGCTTTGCCGCCGACGTCGTCCGCCGTCGCCCTTGCCGTCGCCGCCGTCATAGGAGGAGGAGGGCGGACGAGGAGGAGGAGGGACGAGGAGGAGGATGAGGAGGAGGAGGAGGACGAGAAGGAGGAGGAGGAGGAGGAGGAGGAGGAGGAGGAGGAGGAGGAGGAGGAGAGAGCGAGAGAGAGAGAGAGAGAACACCGATCGGACGCGCTGGTCTTGCCGCCGCAGCTAATCCGATAACGAGCGCCGTGCGCGGCTCCAGTCCTCTATGACGTGCGACCAAGGAAGGGACGCACGACAGATCTCTGGGACGCGGCAGACGACCACAGCGCAGCGCACTGTGCGGCGAGCGTTCGCGTCGGGTGAAAACCGCGCCGATCTAATTACGGAGCAGAGGTGAGGGATATCTCTCAGGGCAGGCCGCCTCACCAAGGGAGGAAACTCGCCAGTAACCTCGGAGTGAAACGGGCAGCCTCACGGTCGCGCCTGGTGGGTGGTGCTGGTGGCGGCTGAAGTCCTTAGCGACTTTCGCTTGGTCGCCTCGTTCGGAAAACGTTATACGTGGACCTCCAAGGCCCTTGCATCCTAACCGCGCATCCTTATGATACGGGTTGACTGTAGGCCTCGCCGCCGCGGCGGGGCCTGCCTCGTCGGCAGGCGGTCGGGCACAGTGCCCGTGCCGTGGGTGGTCGCCCGCTCCACGGTTGAGATGATCGGGGGAGGCGTGTTAGTGACAGGGATTCTGCCGCTGCCTTGATGCGGTCGCAACGAAACCGTCGGGGGTTCGTCGTCGCCGTCCATGGTTCCGCCGAGCCAGAGGGTGTCGTCCTCGTCGTGGACTGGGGGGTCGCCGCGCAGGCGGCGACGAAAACGCCATCGGGGCCGTCCTCGGGAGGGGCGTGGGAACCGAACATTGGTTCTCAAAAGCTGGATCTTCGAGCCTCCTGGCCGATTGACTCCTCGACTCTCCCCCCTGGGGTCCATCTTGGCCAGCTTTTCGTCCCTGATTGGCTACTTACGGCCAGTGGACCTGGAAAAGGCACCCCACAGGCAGAGAAAAGGGAAAACAGTTCCCAATACGTGGACCGCAAGCGTGCTCGCGCGCAGCTCCGAGACAGCTCCCGGGCACTACTCCACTGGCCCGTGTGTAGTTCCGAGGCAGGTTCCTGGCAGTGTTCTCACGGACAGCTCCTCGAAAGAGCTGAAAGGTTCAAGAGAAGAAGCCATAATCTTCTCGTTTCAGTATCATCCAAACATACCTATACTACGTGTGCGTTGACCTCCAGAATGCGACGCGTGCGCTCAGAAATCTTTGTGAACCCCGTGGCGGGCGGTTTCTGGCCGTACCGCCTGTGTAACGAAGTACCATCAGACGGTATTGTATTGCATGTTCTGTTCGGACTGGCGCCTCCAAGCGGGGCGCGCAGTACTAGAAAGTCTTTCTACGTCCCATCGTTCTCCTTGACCCTCCTGGCTCCCTCTGGACCTCCCTCCCAACCGCCGTGCTCGCCGCCACCGCCGCCGCCTCTGGCCGCCCCCCCCCCCCCCTGCAAACCAAGGCGAGGGCCGGCGCACGCGCTTGCGCAGCGTCGAGCAGAAGGCGCCGCTGCCGCCGCCGTCGCCGTCGTCGTCGCCGTCGACGTCGCCGTCGACGTCGCCGTCGCCGTCGCCGTCGCTGCCGTCGCCGCCGTCGCCGTCGCCGTTGCCGTCGCCGTCGCCGCCGCCGCCGCCGCCGCCGCCGCCGCCGTCGTCGTCGTCGTCGTCGTCGTCGTCGTCGTCGTCGTCGTCGTCGTCGTCGTCGTCGTTGTCGTCGTGCTCGTTCTCTTCGTCCTTCTCATCCTTTCTCTGTCGTGGGCGTTCTCCCTCCTCTCTTTTTCCCTTCCTCCCTCTCTCCCTGCCTCCCCTCGGTCTCCTCCTCCTCCTCCTCCTTCTCACTCCTCCCTACTGCTTCCCCCTCCTTTGCCTCTTCCTCATTCCCTCTCCTCCCTCCTCCCTTCTCCCTGCACCCTGTTTCTCTTTTCCTCCTCCTGACTCCTTCTTCCACCCCTCCTCCTCATCTCTCCGCCTCTTCCCTCCTCCTCCCTCCTCCTCCTCCTCCTCTTCCTCCTCCTCCTGGACCCATAAGCGATAACGACGATTGCTGAGATGACGGCTGCTGCAGATTTGTGTGATTTCCTTTATCAATTTAGCACTGACCTTGCGACCCCTAGCATGTACAATACCGTGCGCATTAGTGAAGCCGTCTAGAGGAACGCATCCAAGCGTAGGGGGATTTTCCTCGACAGGTTGAGATAGCCCTCAGGGAGACAGGTAGGGGCGAGCTGGATGCTGCTCAGGAGGCCCTCGAAGGTCCACAGGACCTCCTCTCCCATCTCCTCCTCCTCCTCCTCCCTCCTTCTCCTCCTCCTCCTCCTCCTCCTCCTCCTTCCTCCTCCCAGAACTCTGACGTAGCGTTTTTTTCGCAACGTCGACCCCTAGATGTCTGAACTCCTTCCCCGGGACCGTTTTGTCGCTCCGGGTCGTTTCTCGACGGTCCTGGGGCGCGGAGGCCGAAAACCAACCGCCTTTTTTCCCAACCCTCCTGCGTTGGGTTCTCGTTTTGAATAGAGCACTGCTCGCGCGAACCTTCCTTCCTTCCCGTCCCTCTCTTCCCCCCTGCCTTTGACCTCGCCATCCCTGGGAGGCTGCGATCTGTGAAACTGTCGCCACTTTCGAGGCCTGCTGGGGGGCCCAGCACAGTGGGTACCCACCGCAGACTCAAATTAGACCTCGCCATCCCCTGGGGGGCTGCGATCTGTGAAACTGTCGCCACTTTCGAGGCCTGCTGGGGGGCCCAGCACAGTGGGTACCCACCGCGGACTCAGATTAGACCTCGCCATCCCTGGGGGGCTGCGATCTGTGAAATTGTCGCCACTTTCGAGGGCTGCTGAGGGGCACAGCACAGTGGGTACCCACCGCGGACTCAAATTAGACCTCGCCATCCCTGGGGGGCTGCGATCTGTGAAACTGTCGCCACTTTCGAGGCCTGCTGGGGGGCCCAGCACAGTGACCCACCGCAGACTCAAATTAGACCTCGCCATCCCTGGGGGGCTGCGATCTGTGAAACTGTCGCCACTTTCGAGGCCTGCTGGGGGGCCCAGCACAGTGACCCACCGCAGATTCAAATTAGACCTCGCCATCCCTGGGGGGCTGCGATCTGTGAAACTGTCGCCACTTTCGAGGCCTGCTGGGGGGCCCAGCACAGTGGGTACCCACCGCAGACTCAAATTAGACCTCGCCATCCCTGGGGGGCTGCGATCTGTGAAACTGTCGCCACTTTCGAGGGCTGCTGAGGGGCACAGCACAGTGGGTACCCACCGCAGACTCAAATTAGACGCCGCTTTCGTCCTTGTTCTCCTCCTGCAGTCACCTTCCCTCTGCTGCTGCCGTGCTGATGGTTCGGCTTCCCGCACGTTTTTCTCCTGCTCTGCGTTCCCGACTCCCCATGTCCTCTTCGAGCCTGTAGCTGTCGCCCCTCGTTCTTGTATGGTTCTCCTGCGCATCATGCCATAGGCGCGTGTCCCAAGTAGCTTACACATCACGTTGATTGTCCATGCAAGTTTCGGCCAACTCCTCGTTTCCATTGATACAAATGGGTTGGGTACGTCACAGGGTAATATTGATTCTTCTTTTCCTCACGGCGAGAGGAGGTCCTGGGAAAGCACCAGGATAGAACAAGTCGGACTGGCGGAGGTTTCGTCCCCCCCACCCCCACCCCTCCTTCGCCTGCTGATGGGCGTCAGTCTCCTCGGGGGGATCAGGGACATAGCTTCAGTTCCTTGGGCTTCTTTGCTCGGGGCTGTCATTTCTCAAGATATTTCGGCCCCGTGTCTTCCTTCATAATTCCCCTGGAAATTCTTCGCCTGGGCCAACATTTCCCTAAGGAATTAAGTTTTCCCCATATCCTAAACTGGGGGCATTCCCCATGTCCTAAGATTGGGTTCTTGTTGTTACTTGGACGCCTCCTACTCCTTCTTCTTCTCTCTTCTCCTCCCCTCTCCTCCTCATACCCAGACTTACTCATGCACATATTGACTCACACTCAGACTTACTCAGACACAGACTTACCCACACACAGAATTATTCATACTCAGACCTACTCATACTCAGACCTACTCCTACTCAGACTTACTCATGGTGAGACTCACGCGCGCCCCGTTCGCGGCCGTTTTGTGGGGATGCCTCAAGCGGTTTGCTTGTTTTCTGTCCCAACATCCTTCGCTTCCGGAGCAGATTTGGAGGATGTCTCGACGCGCTCATTTTTACGTCCCTAAGGGGAGCCGCCGAGGGGTGTTGCACGGTCCCGTTCGCGGCCGTTTTGTGGGGATGTCTCAAGCGGTTTGCCTGTTTTCTGTCCCAGCATCCGTCGCTTTCGCAGCAGATTTGGAGGATGTCTCGAGCGAGGCGCTCATTTTCACATCCTTCAGGGGGGCCGCCGAGGGGTGTTGCACGGTCCCGTTCGCGGCCGTTGTGTGGGGATGTCTCAAGCGGTTTGCTTGTTTTCTGTCCCAACATCCTTCGCTTTCTCGAGCGGGGCGATCGTTTTCACGTCCCTAAGGGGAGCCGCCGAGGGGTGTTGCACGGTCCCGTTCGCGGCCGTTGTGTGGGAATGTCTAAAGCGTTTTGCTTGTTTTATGTCCCAACATCTTTCGCTTTCGGAGCAGATTTGGAGGATGTCTCGAGCGAGGTGCTCATTTTCACCCCCCAGGTGGGCCAGATTTTGAGGATGTCTCGATCGGTTTGCTTGTTTTGGTGACCAGGCTCGTGGGCGCATATTCTTCCCAGGATGCCACAGGACAGGCTCCAGGAGGCCCCAGGAGACCACATGAGGTCCCAGGAGGCATCAGGAGGCCACAGAAAGACTCGAGAGGCCACAGGATGTCCCAAGAGGAGGCTCCAGGAAGCTCCAGAAGTCCTCAGGAGGC